CCCCACTGAGGTGGGAAATTCACTTCAATAACATCAACTTCTTAGAAGTTTTTTGTGTCTCTCCTCACAAAAACAAGAGGTTTATAAATAAATAATAAGACTTTTTTTAAGGCCAACAATAAATATTTACATATGTGATCTAATCACTTCTTATCACCTTTCACTAAAAAAGTCTTGATATGTTTATTATATTTTAAATCACAATATTTAGAATGAGTTGATTTTTTTAAAACGTGGATAACTTATTTTATAATTTATATTTGATTAAAAAATAAACAATTTTTTTTATAGAAATTAATATAATTTTTTTAAAATAATTAATAATTAAAATTAAATGTTTATTTAATTATAAAAATTATTCATATAATTTATAATTATTTTTATGATTAATAAGTTAGTTTTTTAAATTTATACATTATTTTTTTAATAATATATACTTTTATATATAATTATAATTTTTTTATTATAAAATTATATATGTTTTTAAACATTTTAGTTTAAATTAATAGAATAATATTATATTATAAAAAAATAAAAAAAATATATTGAGTCATTTATTTAATTTTTATGGTTATGATATTTTATTAAAATAGTAATTAAAAATTTATATGTATATAAATTGAAATTGTAAATATAAAATAAATATTCATTTATTTATTTGAGTAAAAATAATTTTGTGTAATAATTTTTTTATTCATATATGAAAAAAAATATTTTTTTCTACTTATTTATTAATTAATTTTCAATTATCTTAAAAAAAATAAAAAAGTTGTTTAAATTATTAAAAAAAAGTCATGATTTCATGTCACTTTTTTTTTATGAAACATCCCAATAATATATATATATATATATATATATATATATATATATAAGTATATTTGTTTATTATTATTTATTTATTATTTTTACTTAAACATATCGGATGGGTGTCTATTTATTTATTTTCTTAAAAAATAAATAAATAAAATTTATGATATAGGGTTATCACATTCTTTAACTCTATAGTGTTTGTTGCTAGGTATGTGTTACAGTTAAAAATGAATTTGACTAACACTACACATAAGAAGAACATTTCTTATAAAATAAGTGTTGCAACACGTGAGGATCCACTGATTTGAAACTCAGTTTTCATGAAGGATCCACTGAAACCATCTTTTGAAATTTTGTTGTTTAGGCATGGTAGGAAAGAGGAGCATCGGAGCTGAATGAATGCAAAATTTTTTGTGGTCCTTTTACTGTCAAAGCCCAACAATGTAATCAGAGTAATCGCCTTTAACAACTGAGTCTTCGTTTGGTGTTCGGTTTGAGGTGCTTCAAACTTGTTTGAAAGATAAAATCTACCTTGTGACATGTTTGATCATTTGTAAAAGTAAGGTTGCACTTTTATATTTGGTTTGGGAATTCAGTTTTGTAAAAATTAGATTTTAACTGCTTTTGTCTATTTCAGTTTATAATTTAATTTTAATGCAAACTTAATTTCGCAAACTTCTATATAAACATTTGCTAATTGTTTATATGTTTTCAATTATATAAGGTGAAAACTTGAATGAGTGAGATAAATTTTATTTTGAATTATAATAATTTAATAAAAATTATTGATATTTTTATTGGTTTAATAATTAATTAAAAATTCAACCGTCCATTTAATAAAAATAAAATAAAATTCATTCATTAACAATGTTTTTATGGATGAATATCCTATGCATCCATAAAAATAAGATTCTTTAACAAAACTAAAAATTTCAAAAATAAGTTTAAAAATATATTTGTTTTTTCTAAAAACATAATTTAAGAAAGTTGTAAAAGAATATTGGATCAATTTTGATCTATTTCGTATTTTTAGAAAAATCAATTAAATTTTGAAATATAATAAATAAATCATTCTTTATTCATAAAATTACATGCATATATACTTTATTCTATATTTTTGTATTTAGATAAGATTAATTTATTTATGAATGGATTATATACCTAACGAATAAATGAATTATTTTTTCATCCTAGTATTCTTATAGTTGTGAGAAAATTAATAACGAGTTTGAATATTATTTTCTTTATAAAGGAAGTATTTTGATTTTGTCTTTAAAAGGTGTTTCAGTGATATGAGAGAAGATGATGTATATAAATTATTATTGGTCTTGACTCCTGAATGATATGACAATCATGAACATATCGAAAAATAAGTTAGTTTCCTAGTTGAGGATTAAATAATATGAGTGGAGCGATAGTCTATTCTCGATCCCACAGTGAATATCTTTTGAGAATAAAACTGTGATGAATGAAAATTCTAAAGCAAACAATACTTAAGATATAAAAATTGACTTTGACGATATTATCATAGTGGACATGATATCATGATACTTCCTAAATGGAATATTGATGTTCACTTGGGATGGAGAGTTGAGTTTCGTTGTACTTATATACACCCATTAGTTCTCGACTAGAGCTTATATTCCAATAAATTCATGAATCTCATATTATTTAAGGGTCGATATCAATGATAGTTTATATACATCTTCCTCTCTTAATCCATTGATGTGTCTTTTAAAGACAAAACTGTGACAGATCAAAAAATATATCGAATATGAGAATTGACATTAACGTTGTTATCAAGTGTATATAAGACCGAAATACTATTGTACATAAATTGAACAAATACTATTTTCACTCTTTATATATAATCTTTTAAAGAAAAAAATATAATTTTGAAGTGTTAATTAGGTTATTTAATTTTAATCAATAATATCATATTAAATTTTATTAACAAAACTCATAAAATTAAATATTAAGTTTTAGATATATTTAATGACATTATACATAACTTAAAATATAACTAAACCATTACTTTTAAGAAATAATTTCTAATCAATAAATGTGATTTGTTTATGTCAATAAGTTAATAAATGTATTCACTGTCACGTGAGATGAGTGCATATTTCATTAATAAATTTCACATTAAATTAAGGATATAAAAATAAATTAAACAATAATATGTTTATTTATTATATTAAAGATATATTTTTCTTGAACAATATTTTGGTTTCTAATAGATAATAGCGGAAGTAATAATATTTAAATACAATCGACTGATCCTAAAATTGTTGTCAGTAGATACTAATGTGTGTGAATATTTTTGGTTTATTAAAGTTTAAAGATAAATCAATGTCATTTTTTAATTTATTATAACATATTAACTTATAATTTTAAACATTAATATTATATATATATATATATATATATATATATATATATATATATATATATATATATATTAAGACTTAAAATTCTTATTTCTTACGGATTGTGTGGTTCCACGTTCTTAAAATAAGCACGATTTTCATAATATACGCAGCTATCTCTCTGGTTTATGATATAATAAATTAATAAAATTATAAATAAAGGATTATATTTGAACAATAAGTAATTTGTGTTAAAGAGGTGGAATTTTCATGATAGGAATCTTTTCCTAACTGACAAAAAATATTATGTATATTTTTTAAAGCAAAAAATATAATGTTTATTTCTATCAAATGTTAATAAAGATATTTGAACATAACAGTTATTATAATCTATTTTATTCTATAAACATTTCTGCTACAATGTTTGAATTATTTTCAAAACGGGAAAACAACAGTAAATAATGTTCTAGGAACGCTAGTATAGGAAAAGATAAAGATAGAGAGAGTTTGGTACTGTTGTAAATTTAAAATTTGAAAAAAAAAGATAGTAATTTTGTTAATAATATTAAATGTATATTGATGAAGAGAGAAAGAAAGAGGAGAAGGAGGATGGTTGACACAAGGAATGTTTAGAATAAGATGTAAACAGTTAATTCCCAACTCAACAAGCTATTCTTGGGCAGTTGGCAATGAAAATTCAGCTTATTTAAAAATAAACAAATTAATTAAATCCATTTAATTTAAATAAATTTATGAGAAGCAAACACACAATGAATATGATAATTTTACAAATAAAAACAAAAGTAAAAATTCTACAACAACCGCAATCACAATAACAAGGAGGAGAGAGTGAAAATCACAGAGACGAAAAGATCGTCTTCTGAATCGGAACAAGGTCAGTGAATTTTCTTCTCTTCCCTTCTTACAATTTCCTCCCCTTCCATCTACTAATTCACTTTCTCAGCATGATTAATTGATTATTATTGTTGTTCATGATTTTCTCAATGAGCTTTTAATTTTTCAATTTCCTGCACGATTTGTTCTTCTTGTTGTTGTTTCTTTTGCTCTTGTATTTTGTTTCTGAGGAAAGGAAACAGAATCAGAATTCTCCGCTCAGGTTCTGTTATTACCCGATTTAGTATTATGAGTTTTTATTGTTTATTTTTTTTGCTTTACAATATTTCACAAAATAAATAAAATTTAGCGAGAGAAAAAAAGAGACGCCAGATAACAAAAAGAAAGAACATTGAAACTCAGCAAATCACTGGCGTAAAGCACAGTCGATCGGGTTTAGCATTCAAATGAGGTGAAATTGGTTTAACGGCATTTGTTCTACTTCTGATCAATTGGACTTTGTCGTGACTGATTGGTCTGTTTCTCTCTCTGTTTTTCTATCTTTGTATTTTTATTTTAAATTTTACTGTTATGTGTTGTTGTCTATTTTGAACATTAACTTGCAACGGGTTCTGTATTTAGCTTTCTTTGGCCTCTGTTTTTTTTTTTTTTTTTCTGATCAAAATTTTATACTTTATGATTAGTTGTTTTTCCGGTTTTAAAAGTCAAGATCTAAATTAATTAAATCTTAAGTGTTTCAGAATAATTTTTGTTGTTTTTGCAACCAGTTATTTGGCTTCTCTTTTGTTTGTATGTTTTGATGTCTATCTATTGGTTGCTATCACCATCGATTCCGTGGTTTCTACATGTTGTTGGTGGGTAGCTGACAAGTGTATTATTTTTATTTTTGTTCTGTTTCTTACTTTGATTTTTGTTATTGAACAGAAGGTGTTCAGGTTGAAATTTTAGAGCAATATATTAGCAATTATGAGATTCAAGAAAGGGAATAAGGTGGAAGTTTTAAGCAAAGTTGAGGTGCCGTGTGGCTCCTGGCTATCTGCAGAGATCATTTGTGGTAATGGCCACCACTATACTGTGAAATATGATGGATATCAAGGTGATGCTGGTGAGGAAATTGTGGAGCGAGTATCCAGGAAAGACATAAGGCCATGTCCGCCTGCACCTGAATTCATGGAGAATTGGAGTCCAGGTGATGTTGTAGAGGTCTTCCAGAACTTCTCATGGAAGATGGCTACAGTTTTGAAGGTTTTGGGGAAAAACTACATTTTGGTCAGGCTACTTGGATCTTCTTTGGAATTTCAAGTGAGCAAATTCGACATTCGGGTGAGACAGTCTTGGCAAGATGATAAGTGGATTATAGTAGGAAAGGTACCTTTACTTTGCCTTCTGAACCCTTTTTTCCGTCTTCCTTGGTAATTTCCTAGTGCTGTTGTCTGTAGATGTGGATATTGTAACGCATCATCTGTTGTGTTGGTTTTAACTTTCGATTGAATTTTTCAAATTTCATTTATTCAGCATTTTTTCCTCTGCTAAAACTAACTAATTATAATTTAAAAAAATTAGAATTTTCTTAGGTTCTTTTTCTTGTTATACTTTCAATCTAACCTGTTTCTTACTTTCACATTTTCTTCAGTTTTCCTGATTTCTTCTTGTTTTACTTAGCTTTCACAAGTTTTTCATTGTACTATTTTTCTTCTGATCCCTCTATGCTGTTTTATGGTTAATAGTTATTTCTCATTCTCCCTTCTTCAGGGTTCTGCCAGCTGTGAGAATAGAAAACATTCTAGCCAACTTCAGAAGACGGCTTCAAAGACAAAACTGTCAGGTTCCACTTACTACCATCCTGAAAAGAAAAAACTGAGTATTCTGGAATCCCAACTTGTCTCTTTTAAAACATTGAAAAGAGGAAGCCATTCACAAGTTGAGGCATATGCTAAACCTCCCCCAAAGATTAGAGTACTTGGAAATAAAGGTGGATGTCAGAGAATAAGAGTTAGAAATTCACTCACACCATTCAAACAGGTACAGGGTGTCAGTTTTCCAAGAGATGTGCTCGCTGAAGAATGTTTACCTGCTTCTGTAAACAACGGAAAAACTGGGATTCCTAATATGGTGGAGATAGAGAGGAGGAAGCAAACTGGTGCTTTGGTTTGTTCATTTGGAGAAAACTTAGAATCAAATCATGCTGATAGTGTCACGTGCTCTGTTGGTAGTTGTAGTATCACTAGCAGGAATTCCTATAAATTTCAATTTCCTGTATATGCAGGTCCTTTTGAAGATGTAGATGGTCCTTTTAGTGATGCTGAGTCTGTCTGCCAGAGGGGTTATGAGGAAGGGAATTGTTCCCCTCCTACACAAGAGGAATTGGCAGCAGAAATTCATAGGTTAGAGTTGCATGCCTATCGTTGTACAATTGAGGCATTGCATGCATCAGGACCCTTAAGTTGGGAACAGGAAGCATTAATGACAAATCTACGTCTTTCGCTCCACATATCAAACGATGAACATTTAACGGAGCTAAGAAATTTGATTTCATCTGAAAATAGCATTCCTTTCAGATGACAGGAAATTTTTTCATCTTCAATTTAATACTTTTTCCCTAGGATAGAGTTTATAACAGTTTGATCTCAGCCTCATTCAACTGTAAGAAGAAAGATGAAATATTTCAATCCTTCATTTATGTTTTATGAGTTAGTGGTATAGTTTCATGTGAATGTATATGCTAAACTTCGTGAATAAGTGATAATTTCTGAACTCTTGTCAATCTGTCTGTTCATCTATGATATATCCTCTTAATTTTCATTGGCGTCTTCTGGTGGACACACCATACCAGGATCATCCTGGAACCTTTTGGCAGACATGATCTGACTAATGAGATTTAAAATAAGTGGTAGACTAAAATGCTGGTATATATTGAGGCTCAATGAATAATATGCTTTATATAGGACTTGTGTTTTGCATAATATGTTGATATTTATGCTGATTTTAGAAGATTAGAATATTGTTATGCATTCGTATCATTACTCTTAAATCAGAACAAACAGACAAACTTTTGTTTTCCTTTCTAAATTTGGTACATATAAGGATACAGTCAATGTCATGTAGGAGACATACAATGTGTAATACTTGTCTCTGTTCTCCATAATTTGGAAGTACAAACAAAGTCATTTGCAGATACTAGTAATGCTTCCCCTGCATTTTCCAGGGCTGAGAAGGAGGCATGTAGGTGTTGCTTCCAGATGTCTACAGATTTTCTCTTGCTCTAGACAAGGGATGGCTTTTCTAGTATGGCTCTTGATAAGCCAACACTTCCATAGGCTTGTGGAGTTCTCGCATTCTTCCATTTCAGGCCACCTGTGAGCCTCAGATATCTGTTTTGCGGAGGGATGCATGCTCAGAGTCTTGTGGCTACAACGGGGTGACCTGATATGTGAATGTATAATTGAAAACTTTCACCTTAGCTTATTCAGTTGTGATATCTTTTGCATGCTGATGCATGAGTCACTATCAATGTGTGAAATGATCACTGTCATTTTCTTCGCGTGCATAACATGCAGAGGATGTTTATATGTCAAAGCCTAATTAATGGTTAAAAAGTTGAATGTCCAACTTTGTAATGTTAATTTAACTATAACTATAGGGAGGTAGACGAAGCGTGCACTATGCATGGTTATAATGGGCATTTTGTTATGTGCATTGCTAACCAACTGGTAATCACATATATAATTAACAGTAACACAATTAAGATGTCTGAATGAAAGCACCAATTTTTAAGATAAAGAAAATTTTGACAGAAAACCTCAGGACCCAATGCGGTAGATATTGCTGAAAAGGCTTTAGTTTCTGATGTGTATACCTGACTATGGAAAGTATTCACTTTCTTCCAAACTATTAGCAACACCTCATGCTAGTTTGCAATTTGTGTTTTTTATTTATCGATTGGATTATCCTTTCAGTTTATCTATAATACTGCCATGGCTGCTTTGAACAATGCTGTTCCAGTACTTGTGCATCTACTACTTTACAAGTTACGTGAACATGATTTTCCTTTTATGGTTGTAACCTTACACAAGAAAGTTGTCATTGCTTTGTGGCTAGTGTATCAATGCTCAGCAATGATCAATTAGCACAAGGTCCAAATGGCTCTTGGAAGAACATGGCCACAGTAAAGCCGGAATGACACAAGGTATGGCTATCATCGGAATATTCGTTTTTTTGCATATATTCCCCTATTCCGAGCTATGATCCATATATAGTAAGTAAATAGTTTTTATGCACTTCATCGGCATGTTAGACTTGTTTTGTAAACGAGAATCTAATTTATCCTTATTTCAACTCTTATCCGTGTCCTCTACATTAGAGCTCTATATTCCAGATTTCCAACGAGACCTTGGATTTCAGTTTTGGCTGGCCTAATATCTTTCAGTTGGGCAAAGATATCTCCGAGTTCTTTGTGAAGTTTTTTGGCTTCAATATGATGTTTGATCAATGTGGAATCCGCTGCCCTTTGAAGCATATTCCTTGCTTGTCAAAACCTAGATTTTGAAAAGCTGAATAGCTTGCTTAACGTATGGGTTTTTTTATACATTTTTTTTTCGTTCCATTGTTAGTATATTTTTTTTATATATACTAACTCCAAACCCCTGATGAGTCTGTCTGATTTCACTCACCTTATTTTGTCAAAATCTCTTAATTATCTGGTGCAATATGTGAAAGGTTGTGGAAATGGTAGCTTTTCTTGTGTTGGCCAGTGCTGTAATTGATGGTTTACTGTGAAAACAATAGAGATAGAATCTTAATTTTTTTTATTAATCAACATTAATTTTTATTTTATTTTCTCTTTATTTTATTATAATTTTTTATTATAATTAATAAATTTTTATATTTTATTCAATCATATTTGAATTTATATTATATTTCATATAAATCATATAATAAAATAAATTAATTAAATTAATTCTATTAAATACGCGTGTATTGACTATAACTAATAGTAGTATATTTCATAATGCAAACGCAAGGGGAACAAAATTCTGATATACCTTTTTGGGTGGAGATTCTTTGTATGCCTTTGACTGAGGTAAACTGCCAGTTTTCCAAACTCAATAGATTTGAACCTGTTCCGGCATTATTATATGCTGCAGTTAAAGTTTGAATCACATTGTTCCTATTTTTGAAACCAGTTTCAGTTTTTAAGAGAGAAAATTTGGTTTGCTATAACGAGGTTTTCAAAACTATTTTCAGAATTAAAATACCTTTTCATTAAAATAAAATAAAATCAAACCATCTCTAAGTTAGTTTTCTATTTGGATTTAATTGAAAGTAATTCTTTTGTATACTTTTTAAGATAACTAACTAATTCTTATAAATTTAACATACACTATGTTTGTGAATGAATGATTATATAAAAGATTTTTACACATCATCATTGTGTTATTATTTATTATTATTATTATTATTATTATTATTATTATTATTATCCTTTCGCACATTCTTTTCTTCTGCTTTTTAAAAAATATTTGTATAACACCAAAATAGGACAACATATGGTGGGGGATAGTTTATGAGCAAATCCTGTAGGAACAACAAACAGTTTGTCGTCCTTTGCCTAAGGAGAAAGGTCTATTTAATATATTTTATACAAGTTTTAGGGAATTTCAGTTCACGTCTATGGAAATGGCGACCTCCCAATACTTGGACAATTTGTATTTTGCAATGTCCATATTTTAAAATAAAATCTTTAGACCAAAAATATATTACAATTAAACTTTTATCAATAAGGACCAGGCATCGAATCCAGGGTAGAAGAGTATGCTATTTCGCAATATTTATCCAAACCTTGTTTTACAATCTATTATATGTTTATTTTAAATTATTACTCTTCTCGTGATTTTCCTTCCTCCAAAGTTTATCTCAAAGGGAAAGGGGTGTAATTTTAGGTTTGATTGAATCAAGTCTCTGCAATTCTTGTATTCAATCTAACTTAATTTTGATCGAGGCTTAGATAGGTTTAATTGGAGTTACATTTTTTTTAAAGTTTACTAAAATTTATTATTTTAGAACATTGTTTTGTTAAATTTTGTTAGAATGTTTTCTTTTAAACAAACTATATTATTTAATATTTAAATAAGTTCATATTTAAAAATATATTTAATTAATAAATAAAAAATAATTATATTATTGTTTTATTTAATAATTCTAATTGGATTGCATTGGATATTAGATTTGATATAGAGATTAAATTAAATTGAACTGAGTTACATGAAAAGACCTAGTCCAATGAACAGATTGTATCTCCAGTTGCGAGAAGTAAGGCTCTTCTAACAACATTTTTATTGGACCAATTTCCAACTTTGCTTTTTTTATTTTCTTTCTATCATATGTAAGTTTCTTACTACACACGTAATTAAATTAAATTTTATTTTACTCTTATTTATCTTCATCCTTATAATGTTTATTTTTTATTATTAAATCTTAAAATATTTTCATTCTTTATTTTGTTATTATTTCAAAAATTACAAGAATATTGAACTATTTTTAATTTGTATTAATTTATTATTATGTATAATATTCATGTAAAAAGATTTTTAGCTGAAAGTACGTTTCTTACTAAGAATTGAAAATATGTTTATGCAAAATATTTTTTAAAAACAAGTTTCAAAAAATGAGTTCTAGAAATATATTATAGAACTTACTTTTCATAATGCGTTTTTCTTTTTAAATTCAGAAATATTATCCTGAAATCCACTTTTCAAATTTTGATTTTGAAAAAAAAATATTAGATCACCTTTTCAAATTTAGTATTTTGGAATATATTTTTAAAAAATTCAATCTAAATATATATTTTAATTTAGTATTCCAAAATTTAATTTGATTTTTAAACAACTATTTTAGATTAAGTAATTTAAATTTTAATGTATATTTTCAGTATTGGAAATATATAATAAATATATAATATTAATAATTACTCCGTTAGAAATGATTTTAAATAGAGGTAATAACACAAGAAATTGAATTTTGCTTAGACATATAGAACATAAACAAGGTGGCGAAGATAAGCAATGGAATAAAAGGTCTTAAAATTTGAAATAAAAAATACTGGAAGAATATTTTAATTATTTTGCATGAAATATGAAGTCGCAGGAATAAATTTTGAAGAGGAAGAAACAAAGTGCCAAAAGTAGTAGTGGATTTTAGGCAAGCCTAGTTGCCCTGGACCTCTGGTGGACCTTCTGACCTAAAAGTCTTGGACCTGACACTAATTAGGTTTTAAATGAAACTGCCTCATAGACCCAAAAAATAAATATGCTCCATGACAAAACAAAATTGTCCTTTTCTATTAAGTGTGATAAACTACTTAATTTCATATTTAAAATGAGTTTTTATTATTATTATTATTTGAAGTTCTTGATATTTATTAGTCCATGCATTGTTACTTGTTCCTCTTTACTCATGCTTCAACCCACTTTTTTTTTCATTTTATAATATAAATGCTAATAGATTTTAATGAAGCACTGCAAGATGAACCACGTTTTATTTAGACAGTTCATTTAAAACATTAATATTACAGTCGCATGTTAAAAATTAATTTGAATCTCCAAAATTATTTTGGAGTTTAAATATTTGATTAAAACCCAAAATTTGTTTTGGGTATCAAAAGTAACCAAGTGCCCCATCTATAAATGTAGTATGCAAAATAAATAATTACATCTAGATTAAACTTTTTCCCTGATAAAAAAAATAAAATAAGTGATAAAGATAGTATTGGGCTGACATAACTAAATAAGAACAACATCATTCCTAATCCGATATAAAAATCATTTAAATAAATTTATGGTGACAAAAATACTCTATGATTTTAAAATAATGATTCTATACTATTTATTTAAATTACACCGTTTGCAACAATGAGTTTTTTTATTATTCCAAGTTTAAAACCCTATTGGTATTTGGAAAGCATATTATTAGACCACTTTCTTTCTTTTATAATGAGATCACGTCTTTATTTATTATTACGAAAATAAAGTTTTTTCTATTTTCTAATATCGCCTTTTCCGTTTAATATTTAAATCTAATACCTTTTACATATAGGTTTTCCCTTATTCAAACAAGTGTTATTTAAAACTTCTTTTAACATTGATATAAAATTAGAAATGTTAAATAATGAAAGTGTAATTTTTCAATATTGTTGTGTTTTCCCCCAAATTAAACTCACAAGGTAGTTTTTTTTTCAATGAGAAAAAATATTTTTAAAATAAAAAATAAAAGGTTTCAAATTTATTATATGAAGATTTGATTAGATTTCTAGTTTCTCAAAATTGAATGTAAAATTAGTTTTAGTTATCTAAATTGAAAAACATATAATTCTGCTCTTAAATCCTAAATTTAAAAGACTAAAAATAATTTTTTTTAAATTTTAAAATGTTGAGATTCTAAGATTTTAAAATCTGAGAAAAACAATATTAGATTTATCTTAAATTCGAAGAACTAAAAAAATTCAATCTGTTCTTACTTATGGAAAAGAGAAGAGAAAATGAAAACACAGATGTTCTGTGGTGAATAGTTTTTCCCTTAATTAACCCCAAAAAGTAGAGAGAGAAAAAAGTGAAGCAGTTTTGTGTAACTTTTGATTGTGAGTGATGTGAATGTTTCAAAATTTGATTTGAATCGAACTAACATGAAAAAATAGAGTGAATTGTACTTACGCAAGTGATTTAACGTTTGATACGAACTTTACCCGATTATCAATGATAACGGACACGACATTGTTTGGCATAGAAGACGATGATAAAAATGATGGTTTGATGAGAATCGCACAAATGTTTGGTTAAACGACTCAAACCCAACTTTTGCTTCAAATCTTAACGTGTTTGTTGTTCACTTTTCATCAATTCACATTTCATTTCATGATTAATAATTAATTGGTAGAAAGAAAGTGTCCCCCACATCTATTCCTCCGATTATTAGTGATGTTTATTTCAAAATAATGCATTCCCATCAATCTTAGTAACATTTTAAAGAGTTTAAATAGTACATATATTTTCAAAATATATGTTAGAAACATGAAAATTCTTTAATTAGATATCAGTGTTTTAACATACAGTGAGAGGGTATGTGTGTGAATAATTTTTATATCCCTGCACATTTTATACCATTATTATATTTGAATTATGAAAAATTGTTTTGAAAAATGACTACAAGACATCACAAGTGGGCTTGTCACCAGTATCACCAACAAAGTTTAATGTGAATTGTGTAACTGCCATTCCTTGGGCAGGGCCATTTCAAGATCTTCTTTTTGGAAAGGCTAACAAGTGTCTTAAAGATGTTCATTAAAGAATCGATTTTTATTTTTTATTTTTTCTGTTGAGATACATTTTCATGTGATTTCTAATTCAACTCCAACAAAATTTTTGAATATTATTAATAATCTCTTATATAGTATTAGTATTTATGAGAGACTGGGTAGCTTGATTTTTATTTTATTTATTTTTTCACAGTAAAGGGGTATTGAATGTTGTGAAGTAAATGTGGAAAAAGGTAGAGAGAAAAAGAAGAAGAAGAAGAAGAAGAGAATGAGTTCTACATTTCTTCTTCCAAGACCCTTATAGAAAGAGTTGACGGATAGGAAAGCTACAAATGAGTTGTGCATTAATGTGGCTCCACCAAATCCTCTACCATTGTCTCATTTGCTTCCTTCATGATTGGTATTCCCATGTGATGCTGCCTCTCTCTCTTGCTAAGAGAGAAAGAGAATGAAGCCTACAAGTTTTGAGTAAGCATTTTAGGGTCACTCTCACCCTCAACATCTGTACATCACATGAAAATGTATTTTCTCAGCACCAAAGTTAATTGTGACAAATTATATGGGACAGGTCTTTTCATGTATTGGCCCCAATATACACCCCCATTTCAAACAGGAGGTGCTGTGGAGCTTCAGCAACTTCTCACCATATATACCATCTTGCCCTCTGGTTGATTTTTTTTTTTTTTTGCTTCTTGAGAAATGAATAGCAAATTTCAAGAGAAAATAGTGTGTGGCATGCATTTCATTGTACTTAATTTCTCGAAGACATTAATGTCCAGCTCTGTTCCTCTTCTGTCTCTTTTCCTTCAATTATCTTTGTGGATTGAGAGTTCACATCATGACTAAACTTATTTAACATTTTTAATAAAGGGAAGTCTAGTAATTTATAGGATTAAAATCTGTACAAAATTGAGACAGGGAGATATGGATCCTAGTTAAGGGAAGGGTGAATGAATCATGTTGAAGCAGAGTAATGGTATTGGTAGTGCTATTTGGTTATTGGTATTATTACATGACAGACCGACAAGGTGTAATTAAACAAGGGCAGACATTAGCCAGCTCAAATGCATTGGCATTAGTGCCTAATTAGGGGACATTCAAGATTAATTTAGTACAATTTTTGTTATAATTGCAAAAATACTGTGCTTAGCAGTGGCCATAGATCTTGAGCATTTACTTGGGATTTTAAAATTATTGTCTAATTTTTGGCAGAGAAGCAAAATAGTTATGAAACAGGAGGTTAGGTTTACTCAAATAACATGAGCTGTCCATTTTGTAAAATAAAGAATAGTATTATTGAGGGCCACCTGGTACTAGTATCCCCATTAAGAACAAACACTGATGAATAATGGAGTTTTTATTTTCTGGGGTACTGAACACGAGCATTGATTTAGGTGCAGAGTTCGAAACATATGAAGTAGTAGTCGAAAGTAAGAGTAGAAACATAAATTTGAAGCCATGCAGGGCTAAATTTTATTTGGAATGTAGAATTTGTCATTTAGCTAATCAGAGGGGACACTGCTTAGATGTTAACGCGGAAGAATGCTGAGACAAACCACAAACCAACACAACCCTCCACCAACACAAAACCAATCAAATTTCTTCGCGGATTACTAGGACTATTTATGAGAGCGATGCGAAATACTACTAATATGGGATAAAAAAAATACGTGAAACATCATGTTCTTGTTTTACGTGAGATTGGTATGCTCAAGGCGTAATCTGCGATTCCCATGATTCACATTTCTCAGCAAAAGCGTACTAGTACTTGGATTATCATCCACACCAACATATGCTACACTACATAGTAGAATGCCAAATCATGATATTATAAAAAACAATGCTACTCCTCTATGGTAGTGGTGGCGTGAATAATAATAATAAGAGTAGTAGTAGCTACTGGTATAGAATAATGTCATTAATTGTACTGTAGTACTAATTATATTCACACAATTTTCAAGATTAGCATAAGAGGAATAAATGAGTGGCAATCACGTCTAGAGTAGGAGTGTAGGTGTCCAAATATGCAGATGAAACTGAAATAAAAAAAAAAAAAAATTAAGGGGAGATGGAGGGGTAATTATGCAATGGGGCCACATGGTGGTGCATGGGATGGTTTGGTTTGGTTCCTTTAATAAAAGCTAAAAAGAAAACTGAAATTAGAGGACAAGAAGAACTCCCCTAACCACATGCATCTTGGGGACCAGCAAAGGGTGATAAACTAGAATTCTCTCCCCCACTCCACGGAAGGGGATGAGAAGATCCCAAAAAGCAGTACACAACCCTGTTCCTCTAAATCTTACTTCTTACTAAATTACAACTCAAATGCCGCAAATCCCATGAAAGAAAACCAATAAACAATGTGATGCATGCTGGATTATGGTCCCCTTTGCTTCAAAAGAACATTTTATGTCTTCAAAGTACTACCTTCTTACTTTAAATCCCCCAGGTAACACAAATCTTACTCTTCTGCATGGCCCTGCCAAACACCACTTATAATAAATACAAGGAAGCTACCACGGACCCAACCCAACAAGTTTCCCTCAAATATCATTTAATAAACAAACACTAAATATACGTCCTTATCCTACTTCTTCACATATTTTTCTTTTTTCTTCTTGCCCATCAATCTGTCAATAATTTGGATTTAATTTTCAGAATATCTACTTGTATGGTAGGATTAGCCTCAGCCAACAAACACACTACATTGCATTACAAACAACATGTACGAAATTGCGTGGTGCTGGAAAACGGGGGTTGCACAAATCACAAGTGTAAACTGAATAAACAATGTGATGGGAAGGAACTTAGAAACCCAACAACTATGGGGTTTCGGAATCTTACCTGTATACCATTTACTCTTAATTCAAGAAAGGTTCAATTTGCTTCGCTACTACTAAACTATAATATGCAATGCAATATAAGAAAGGGATATTATGACATGTCTTTCTTGGAAAGTGCAGGACAGTAGAGTTCAGTGCCTAACTAGTTACTTACTAGTACTACTCATGAGTTTTGTTCTAGAAGTCGGGAAATTACATCTATGGAGATTGCAAAAGTGCTGAGAGCAGTGAAAATCTCATGATTCTTCATCATGGAGAGTGAAATTATGAATAATATCTTAACCAATGCTTCTTCTTTGGGGTCATCCAGTGATAAAGATTTATGGGTCTTGATGTCAGTCAGTGATTGTAGTGGTTTAGAAATTCGGTTTCCAATGTTCCTTCATCTACTTCCTACCTACATAACCATACCTTCTTGTTGCCTTTTTTTAACACAAAGTCGAGACAACAAAAAGTTGTATTTTAATTTAGTAGTATATCTTCTACTTCTATATATGTGCATGAAAAAATAAAAAAAAAGGATGTGAAGTATAAAATAGTTTTATTCGATGTCACATATTGTGTGTCTTGTATTTATATAGTCAAATTTCACCTGTTTTGTAAGTCACTGAAATGAAAGGAGTGATTATTTAATGATGGGATTCATTTGTCTTGTCAGAAAAAGTTTGGCTTGTGCCTCATGATTGTGCTGCGTTTCAATATGTTGGATGACCATCTAGTGCATTATTTGAGTTATCTGTTTAGGAGATAAAGTTTGGTACGTATATATAAGTTGAAAATGAGAAGAAAAAGTGGAGATCAGAAGGAAAATAAAATTGAAATAATAAAACCGTGCTAATAAAACAAAAGGGACAGAGTCTTAAAAAAAAAATGTATGAATTAACAACTCAAGTTTTCTTGTTTTTTGTTTACCCGTGACCCTTCCATCGGGGTACACAATTCTGTACTTTTAATGAACAACTGAGCATTTCTCACAAATGATATATGATATTTTTTGTAAGTATTCAGCATAGCTTTCCATATTATTAATTTTGATGAAGAAGAGACACAGAAAGAGATAGAAAGAGGGAAAGGAGAGGGAGACAGAAGAACATAAAATAATGAGAAAAGAGAAGCATGATTGATCACAAGTGCGAAAAGAGAATAGAAGGGCCAAAAATTCATTACAAAATTACAAATCTCTGTAAAAGAGAGAAGAAGAAATAAAAATGAAGGAAAATATACAGAAGATAGAGAAGTGAAGAGGCAGCTATGTAGCGAAATGTTAGGCATGTACTGGTTTTACTCCTATAACTCACTCAAAGTAGTAGCTAGCAACATAGCAATTGGCAAAAGACACTTGGCCAAGAACCAAACAAGACCTCACATGCTAGAGTCAGTATGTTCAGGAGAGGATAAATAAAGCTTTTTTAAACTAAAAGGAAAGGGCACCATAGTAAATTCGCTCACCGCACATTCTCTTGGTCCTACTATATATATATATATATATATAAATTTTAATTGATATTTGTTTTTTTGAATTGGGAGGAAGAGGGTAGTGGATGAAGTGAAGAAGGGACATGTACAGTTGCATTGAGGCATAGAGATTTGCAAGAGTACTAGGAGTGGTGAAGAGGGTGAGGATGATGGAGTGTGGACGACAAGTGTTGGAAAATGATTGGTGCGCCGTACTGAGGGTAGAGTAGCATGAGGACCGTTGGTGCGTGCTGATAACTAGGGGCCAACCTGAAACTAAAACGCTGGAGTATGATTGCGAGGGCCAGTTTGGTTTGTAGCACTGCCAGGTTTTGTCCGATACATGTGCGCACACCCACCCCAAACGGTATGAACCCCAAAGGATGCTTCGCCGCGCGGGCCACCCCCGAGCTGAAACGCCCTGGATTGAACTCGTTCGCATCATTTCCCCATATCGCTTGATCGTGATGAACGGCCAGGATTGGAATCAACAGCTCCGTCCCACGTGGTATCTTGTACCCCCCCAACTCCACGTCCCCTTTTGCCCGTCTGATTGTCGCGATGGTCGGCGGGTACAGCCTCAGCGACTCGTTCACAATCATGCTCACCTGCACCAAAACAAATATCACATTTCATTTTTTAACCACTTGTTCCAATACATGTTCCCTTCAGAAGGGGTAAGGGGAAGCAAGAGGTGGGGGTGAGAGGAAACATACAAAGAGAAAGCGAAGGGGTAAGGGACAAAGGAAGATTTTTTCGCATTTGGGTCTCCTAATAATCATAATAATAATGTGAAAGAAAGAAAGAAAGTAGGATGGAAGAAGGGTGGTGTTTGTTTGGTGGCTTACCGTCCTGAGCTTTGCAACATGGTCTTTGGTGGGAAGGTCACGTGATCCACACATCTTGAGAACCTCCTCACGTGCCTGTACCTGCCAGTGTGGGTGCATAGCTAGGAGAATGGTCGTCCACGTCAGCAGGTTGGATGTGGTCTGTTTCCCTGCAAAGAAAAAGCTCTTGCACTCTTCCACAATGTCATCCACTGTCACATTCCTCGAATTCATCTTGGACGCATCAATCATTAGCCCCAACAAATCCTTTGCCCCCTTCTCCACCCTCTCCGAATTCTCCCTCCTTCTCTCTATCAGCTTCACCAGCGATTTCTTTATCTCCTTCTCCAGTTTCCATGATTTTATATTCCTCCTCGTCGGCAAAAATCTATGCAATTACCGTTTACCATTTACCACTTCATTAACAAATTAATTCCTCAATTAAACCGTTATTAATTAATCAATCAACTGTATACCTGTAACCCGGAATGAATACTTTCTGGAAGGCATCCGCAGCCAAGTCCATTTGTTGCCCTTGTAAGCGGAAAATGGCTTTCCCATCTTCGTAGCTGCTTCCGAATGCCGTCCTCGTTATCACATCCTCTGTTAGGCTTTGAAACCACTCCGAAACTTCGACTTCCACCTCACCCTTCTCACCCATTGCCGACCACTTTTCCAACATCTCAACCACGCTTGTTGCCATCACCGGTATCAGCAACTAATTAAAAAACGTGTTTCTTTAGACACCCAAATCTTATTTATATGTATAAATAAACGATTTAGTATCCATACATGTGTTTTAATAATAATAACGGGACGGGGTAGGAGTTAATTAATTACTTTGAGATTCTCCATGTGAAATGTGGGAGAGATAATTCTTCGGTGGTGAGCCCATTTTTCTCCTTTGAGGCTAAGGAGGCCATCACCTTCTAGCTGCTTCACAAGGGGTGGAGCTTCGTTTTTCTCGTAAAGTTCTGACTTGGATGTGAAGATTTCCCGAATGAGGTCTGGATCAGAGACGGTGAGGCGAACGGTGGGTCCAAACCAAACTAGGAATGTTGCACCTGGATCAAAAAGTACTGTTAATTATTAGTTAAATTAATTAATCGATTGATTAGTGAATAATATTAAAATTACTAATTGTTTAGTTTATTAGTATATTGATAGGATTTGAAAAGGAGTATCAAAAAAGAAGGTTGAGGTGAAATGAGGATTGATTTTTAACACAAAGTTGGAAGTAGCACAGTCCCGCAAGTAGTAAGTGTGAAGTTTGCAAAAGAGGAAGGAGCAGGAAACATGACAGCCATTAGTTTCAGAGGGGGCATGGATAGTGTAGTGTAGACCCTACAGCACAGAGACATTGAGAGAGATAACAGGAGGTGGGAAGAAGACAAGTCAATTTTAAAACGGTTACCAAACATATACAACAACATTGTCACATTTCAATTCCTCTATACAAAAACAAAACAAAGAGGACAATGGAAAAGCAGATGACAACTCCGCAATGCAAACAAAGTGCACTTACACATCATAAAAATTATTATCACTGTATGCATTCACGGTACTTAGTCAACAAGCTGGATATATGTGTGTTTGTGTGTGTTCTTTTTAATAGTGAAATGAAGTTAAGAATATGGACAGCATTTGTATTACTGACATCCTTACAGAGCCCCAAGTCAGTGGGAAACAAATGTCTGATTACATTGCACATCAAGCTGAGGGCTTGTTGGATTTTAAGGCGAGAAAGGATTAATTCAAGGAAGGAGGGTAGTGATCAAGAAAGAAGGGAAAAGGAGAAAACAAGGAGGAGGAGGACGTAGCTACGGTCCAAACCTGAAACTTCAACATCATGCATCAAACAGCAAGGAAGTAACCCAGAAAAAGAAAAGGCTGAAAAGTTGGAAAAAGAAGCACCCTAACTCCGGAAACGAGTCCTTGGAGGCTTGAAAAGCATGAAATTGTGATGGAAGTAACACAGAAGTTGAGTAAGAAACATCGTGATGGCAGTGAAGAGCGGGAACTTTAATGATGATGAAGAGGAGTCATGCGTAGCTAGAGATAAGAAATGCAATAGTTGGTTTTGAAATTGAGAAATGAAAAAGGTGGGAGAGAATGTGTGTGGAATGTTACCGTAAATTTTCTTCCAGTGGTGGTAGAAGGAGAGGACTCTGGGGAGAATGTTGTGAGAGAAAGGCATGGGTTTGGAAGAGGCCTTCAACATCATGCCGACAAGTTCCTTAACGTTTCCAATGAAGAAACGATAAGGGGGTCCTCTGATGCCTTGCTTGGAGAAGTGGCCTTCAATTTTTCTGGGGCGCCACCAGAGGAGGACGGTGAGCTTGAGGAGGAAGAGAAGGAGCATGAAGGAGAGGGAGAGAAGCTTGAGGGAGGAGAAGAGGCCCTCCATATATGGTATGGTTTTTGTAGGATGAGAGAAGACAAGAGAGGGAAAATGTTGCTTGGTTGGTTTGTGTATCTCCTTAGTGTGGACACGGCACACAGACACAGTGGTGCAGAGAGAGCAGGGTTTGGGTTGGGTTTGCTTCTTATCTGCTTTGTTATGTTGGTTGTTAGTGGCTTGGCTTTTTAATACTAGAATGAAGGACATGGACAAAGAGAGAGAGAGAGAGAGAGAAAGAAAGAGGAGTTAACCCAGGCCAACGGCGTAGGGGCCGCCACTGGAATTCCAAGGGTCAACGAATGTGAACCTTATTTAAAACATAACAAGACGATGTTACCCTTCTCTTTTGGATTTTAGCACTCACATCACCTTTCCATCATTTTTTAATCCCCTTTTAAACACAAACCAAACCATTCCTCCTTTATTTACCAAATGCCACTCAATTCTCCACTTATTCATGTATTTCAAATTACCATTTTTTAGTCATTTATTTCAATTATTAATTTAATCATTTTCTATAATGAAAATTTGTTCTTTTTAAATTCATGAATTAATAATAAAATTATTATCATTAATTTAAATTATACTTACAGTTTATTATTATAATTATTATTATAATGGTATAAGTGTTTATGTCACTTAATATCATAGGATTTTATTATCTTTATATATAAATTTGTGAAGAGTGTATCAAAACTGAAAAAATAAGGAATTTAAATCACTAAATCTAATAGTATCAAATCTATAATCTTTGTATAAAAAACTGTAAATAGTGTCTATGAAAGCTCATTCAAACATTGAACTCACGTGGAAGACCTCTGTGAATTCAATTACATAAAATAATTATATTCATTTTTAAATTAATATTTTCAATTTATTGTTTAGAAAAATCAAATTTTATCATATTTCCCCCTAATTGTGTAAATAAAAAGACAGTATAATTTTAGTTACTTTTTTATAAATTATATTTTTATTATATCTTATTATTATTATTATTATTATTATTATTATTATATAAATGTTTGTTGTACTTATTCCAATTTATATCATTTAATACAAAATCAAGGTAAAATCTTTTATTTAAACTTGTATATTTCTTGATATCAATAATAATCAAAATATTTTAATCAGTAAAATATATAATATGAAAAACATAATTATACATTTAGTTATTTATCAATAATTTTATAAAAATGTTACTTATTATTTAAAAAGACAATAACAAAAAATAGGAAGAGTTATATATATTAATTATTCTCATTACATACTTTATGTTAAAAATTATTAGTTATGAATCTTCTCTTTAATATTCACTTATATAGAATATTTTTATAAATTAATACTTCTTACATAGATAGTATTATAATAATACATAAAACATTATTTGATAGTACATTAAAAATAGTTATTAACATTTTATTTTGGTATTGAGTGTCTCGTAAATTATTATTTTTTAATTATATATCAACCAATACTCAATTGAATAATAATTTATAAATAAGTGAATATGTTCAAACTGTTTTTTTTTATCTATTTTTTTACAAGAACAAAAAAATTTAAAACTTGAAGCCAAACAATACAATAAATATTTAAAACATAACCAGAAAAAACTTTATCAGTTAATAGTTTTTTCAATGTATTTATAATAAAAATGCAGCAACAACATAATTTAAATTTCAATAAACACGTTTTTACCTTTCCACTACACGAAGAATTTGTCAATTTGAAAATTAATTTGCCGAAAATTATATCTGATGATTAATTTAAAGGTAAATTACATGAACCACCTTTAAAAAAAAATATATATATATATATATATATATATATATTTAAAATGAAAACGTGTTTAGTTCTAAGAATAACCTTTGTAAAAAAAAATGTTTTGAGTTTTTTAAATTATCTTTATTGTCATGTGTGATTCATCATCTGATCATGTTTTTGATTGAATTGTCAAATGATTATATCAAGACATCCACTCAAGGATATAAAAACTAGTTATCTTCCAAAGAGACACCCTAAACCCTAAAGAAAGCAAAAGTCAAATTTTGATTTTAAAAATATAAAATAACAAACAGATAAACATTAAACATTATGGTTTTAACTTTTATTTGAATCGGTGAGAAAAGTATTCAGTAAAATGTGAACAAACAAAAAGAAAAATCTTTCCCATGATCCCATCCATCCCTTTCAAACTCCTTCGTCTCTCCATCTAATCATATTCCCAATTAAACTTCTTCAAGTTTTGTTGGTGGAATGAAGATCAATCTAGCATGACTATGTCCCCTATTTTTGACGACCATGACTGCTAATATGTCACCACATTGTTTGCCGTCAAGCTTCAATCCATCCATTTATTTATATCAAACATTCACCTCCTTCTTTTCTATTCAGTATCGCTTTTCTTGGAACCATAGTGTCACAAGTTTTTCTCCTATTGCTTACTTTTTCAACTTCTTCTGCCATGAGTGGCGGAAGATTCAAGATCTGTTGTAACTTATTTTATCATGGGATTTTTTAAAGAACGAAGTTCTGTATATCATTTAAGGTTCTATGACAACAATTTTATATACCGATGTTGAATTGACACGAGAGGTCATTTTTTCCCCCAATAATAACTTATGCTGGTAACTGAAGTTGAATCATTGGCAATGGTCACACTTAAAAATGGAAGGGTCCCATTTTTTTCAACAATATGGCCTCTCTGACTAGACCCTTTTTTTCCCCAATCAAGCAACATAAGAGGCAGTTGCATCGTTTATGTAAACTGTCATAGGGAAATGGGGAATTTAGTTATAGATATGTCACCTTGTGTACAACAAAATCTACCTGTTGTTTATAATTTTCTATGTAAATGTGATTTTTCTTTTTGGATTTCATGTAGAACAGGGGAAGAGAAAGTGACAAAGGGGATATGTGGAACACTCTAACCCTATAGCCATAATTAGAACATAACAAGTCCTAACACAGATGCGAATGAGTTCATTGTTTCCATTTAAAAAGTGATAACCAATGATTAATGTAGACACAAGTTTACCCTTGTGCACTATGATCTGTCTTGGGTTCAAATCAAAGTCAAAAGGTCATTCTATATTCCTATATTCCACATGGATGATGTCTAATCCAAATCACTTTTTAAGCTAATTTCAAATTATACATGGGATTCACAACAAATCATCACGGGAATGGAGGCACATGAATCACGAATGTATAAATAATAATAAAAAAAAAAGTTACTGAAATGAATAAAATAAAAATCCATTGATTAGGCAGAAATAAATACATTGTTTGTCGAAGATCGAAAGAAAGAAGAGAAATTTAGACAAGATAGTGGAAGGGGAAAGGAAGAAGAAATTGGTTGGATGAAAATGGTAATTTAGGTTTGTTCTTACCTTGTTCCTTAATGTGGAAAAAAAAGATGATGGGTGTTATGAGAAAGGTGAGGGGAAGAGAAAGCAAAGCACAAAGGAGGTTGTCGTTTTGGAATGTTGCTCTTAAATTTGTGCACATGGGAACAAGGGTGTCTAGGTTAGGGTATCCTTGTGTGCATTAGGTGGGGAAATATGCCCTAGTTGACCCAACAGTGGGGTGCCCACGCAAAGGCACCCTTCCCTAATGTTGTCCTAATAGACCCAAGACATCTCGGGGCCATGTGCCCCTCATGGGTCCTACAAATTTATAACAGAACTCAACGGCTTAGAGCTGCCTCATGACTTTTATTCCACAATCAATTCATGTTTGTAAGCCAGATTGGACAAAATAGGAAACCCTTTCTTTCACAACCCACCTCTGTGATTTTCTTCCTTCTGTCAACTCATTTCATTTCATCACAAACTTAAACCAAACTCTCTCTCTCAATGATTTAATAATTATCCAATAATTGTTACCATTGCCAGTTAGACATAAATGCCACCAGTTTAAATATAAGGCTTCCATCACAACATTGCAATTCTGAACTCAACATATGTCATCGGCTTTTAACAAAAAATTAATTACAAATAACCTAACCTATATACTATATTCAAGTTTACTTGCACAAATTAAACTAAACAACTTTCTCAACATTTTATCATGCTATTTAATTGTTAAGTACTTTGAACAATTACAAATTCAATATATTCTTTCATCAGGAATTGATCACTAGTTTTGTAAGGTACCTACACTTATTTCATGTTAACCTCTTATCATAAATATTTTTCAATCCACATAATGCTTGTATTTGTGAAGAAATTTCGCATTGAAAATATATTTTTAATTATCAAAATATGTATTTCAATTCATATTTTACTAACTAAATATTGGATACAAAATATATTTCTCTAAAAAGAAACAGACTGTGTCATTTTATAATAACGACATAGGTTTAGTAAAAAAAAACAAATATTTAACTTTAAAATGATAAATAATACTAAAAAATCTTTAATACAATATTCCTATAAATTTTTTGAAATAAACAATATTTCAAACATGATAATAAACTTAATAAGGCTATTATAATATAAATGGAACAAAAACATATTTATTAGATACAAGTTTTTTTTTTTTTTTTTTTAAAGATACATAGAAGATGTTTTAATATGAGTATGCTAAACCATAATTTCTTAAACCATTATTGAAATTGAGATTTTGGATTAAAAAAATTATTATTGTCAACTATCTAATTTTAACCACAAATTTGACCATTAGTAGTAAGTTATTAATTTTTTGCTACATATGATTTACCTGATAGTTTTTAACAAACAGAATTTATAGTCATTAATGGTATATGGTTCAATTTCTTAAACACATAATTTTGAATTTTAATAATAAAAGAAAATTGTCTCCTATGATTTTATAATTTACTACATTTTTTTTTCAAACAACGCACGTCATTATTAAATAAGTAATAATATTATATAAAAAAAGTAAGCAATAATCATGCTTGCTATTCGTTAACTTTAACTTACATTAACATAATTATATTAAAATATTTATATATTATCAACCGTTAATATTATTTAATCTAAAAG